TTAGTCCAATACCAATCTTAATCTTATTCTTATATCTCCTTCCCAATATATCTAGTGTATACTGGTATTTGCGAGGCTAGATATCAGGAATTGCTCTGGAGAAGAGCAACTGTTTGCCAAGTTAAATTTATTCTGTTCAGGCTGAAACTATAAACAGTTTCAGACTTACAAATTATCTTACAAATTATTATAAGTGTTATTAATGGCTCATGATTGGTTAGTTCTAAGTTTTTTACTGAGATAGTTTATCAAGATTATAATACGATAAAATAAATACTTGTTTTGAACGGGTCGAACCAGTTCAAATTAAGTATTTATTTTATCCTCTTATAATCTTGATAAAATATCTCTGTAAAAATCCTAGAACTATCCGGGATTTAGAATTTTTTAAGTTGTAAATTTGTTGTTGTGAAGGATGAATGGAGAAGTTTTTTTATTCTTTGGAGTAGAGTCCTTGGAAGCAGTGGTTTTGTGAAGGAAGAGAAAAAAACAGTTGCTCGTGCTGTGGAGTAGTTGTCTTCGTAGAGAGAGAGAGAGAGAGAGAGAGAAGAAGGAGTACAGTTGCTTGTATTTCACAAGTGGGTTTTGAGTATCAAGGTTGGGTTGAGTGGTCCTGTCAAATTTTTAGATTTATACAATGATGTGTCGATTTTGTTAAGTAGAGAGAGACTACGTGCATTCTCAACGATTCATCGAATAGTGATATGGTTAACTTGATATTTAACTTTGAATAACTCCTTTTAACTTTGAATTTTCTTAAGTCAATCAAAATGTTATTGCCGGTATAAATTTTTTTTGATCATAAAGTCAGCGGTTCAAATAAATTGTGAAACTGTACAAAGACCTGCAATTGAAGAAAATTAGATCAAATTACGGCATCTAATCTACATTTAAGTTTTGTTTCAACTTTGAGTTCTTTTTAAACTTTTAAAAAGTTTGTGTTTTGGCAATTTGGCTCACAGTGTTGCGTCTCAATGTCACCCAGTATATTTGTTCCGACTTTTGAAGAAAACGAATTATTTATTCTCTGTGTGCTTTTTTATTCAGTCAATGTTTGCCGAACGAAAGAAATAATCGCTTTCAACAAAAATTTTTATACCCAATAGAAGATATCAACTCTTTGCAATCAAATTTAATAGTACCTCAAATTTTACCTCCAATCTTTTGTGCAAAGTTCTAGGAGTTCGAAAGTTGCAAATTTGGCCATGCTCTGGACTAAGTTATGCGCACTTTGAAAATTTTTTGGATAATTCCAAGAGCGTAACGCGAATGATTTATGCGAGAGATTTATCCCGCACAACAACATCGTTCCAAACTGAATTGGGGCTAGCCAATCGGTCGTATCAATTTCGTACGACTTATAGTTTCACACTTGATATTGACTAAAATTTATCGGTTATCAATATTGTCTTTTCCCAAAAATGAATCGATATGGATTAAGGGGCAGTCGGAACGTTCAGGGCTTTGCCTTGAAATACGAGCAGTCTTGTTTCACCTTAGAACTGCTCTATTTTTTTGACAAGGCAAGAATGGGAATCTACAAACAGCTATGTATTTTGTATGTTCACCAGCTCTAAATTTAGAAAGAGATAGCATAATCTGGATAACTGCAAGCGAATTTCTAAATTGAAGCCTTTTGACACAGACTCAAAGAAGATATTGGAAGAAAACATAAAATCCGATTATCCAATTTAGTCATAGGATAGACTGTCTGAGTGAGCTAGGTTATCCCATTCTCTTAGAATTTGTGAAAATTTTGATAATTGTCTGCTTTGAATGAGAGCACGAAAGATGGGTTCTGCCAGTTTAATGAAAAGCTAAAAATAGAAAGTAAGCAAAGGCTTTTGTTTTTTTTTTTGAAGATTTAAGGATTAGCAGAATTTCGCTGGTTTAACTGGGTCAATTCCCATAGTTGAAGCTAAAAATGATTTTAACAAGACATGAATTTCCCAAACAACTTTGTTCTACCCGCACTGAAGTTTCATTGATAATAATCGATTATATTGGATTTCATTGTCAGTCTCTATTAAATAACAAAATTAATCAACTTCAATCAATCGAATGGATTATAATGATATTATTTTTAGGCAATGAAATCCCAATATAATCTATTATAATCGATTATAACCGATTACTTTCAACTTGTTTTCAAAAAATTTTATCAAAGAAAAATAATCCATTTTTTAAATCTTTTCGTAAGTTGCTTCCATTTTTTCATAATATTGTTAAACCTAAATTAGTTATTTTGTTCTCTCGCTAAATTTCCTTTTTTCCTATTTTCAACCGCGCATATGAAAATTTACTAAAAGTTACCTATGGGGTACGTGGGAAGAGGGTTACTTGGGGGGGGGGGGGGGTTACATGGGGTATACGTGGGGTGAGGTTACGTGGGGGTACATGTGGGTACGTGGGGTGGGAGGGGTTCTTGGGGGGTACGTGGTGGGGGAGGGGCTCTACGTTGGGGGTACGTAGGGGGGTACATGGGGAGCTGGTCAAGAACTTTTTATGGAAAATTACTAAATATTGGCCTCTTCAAAATTACTACATATTGGCCGCCCCTGGATGAACGTATTGGTTTGAGTTTTGCAGAAATTTGCAAAAAGTAGAGTCATTGTTTACAATATTTAATCAATTTTCATGGATTTTATATACAAAAAATAATCCATTATACTGAAAACAAAAACGGACTATAACTGATTATTATGGTTTTTAATGGATTTTTAATTTTCAATTAAAATAATTGATGAAAATGGATTTAAAAGCCATTAAGTTGTCTAAAATTGCCATGAGAATTGTTTATATAGACAACATTTTAGTCAACGAAAATACATTATAATCGATTTTATATATAAAATTTCATTCCGGGTATCCTCTTTTCAAGAATATTAATTAGATCAGGGCCATATATGCGATTGATGAAGATTGGTTATCAAATAAATTTAGAAAAAAAAATGTGGACGGAGTGACCAGTAAAAAACCAAATATGCAAATATCAGCGCCAAAAAATTTTGCCCAAAATATGGCTAGGGATGAGAAAAAAATCAGTAAGAATTTTGTTGATAAATTTGTCTCAAAATATGGCCAAGCATGTTATTTTTTTGGCTGGCAAGGGATTCAAGTTACAGGGGAGGAGGCGAATCGTAATCCAGGGGGAATTTCAAAAAAAGTTCTGAAGAATTGATAAGCCCCCCTTGGTACTATTTCGAGATATCCCTTTTTGGTTGACTGGCCCTTAAATTTTTCTAAAGGCACCTTCGGCGCCAAAATATACAACATTTGAGGTGAGAGCGCTCGCCAAAAAACGCAATCTTTTGGTCAAAATTTTCCAAAAAGTGCCTAAAAACGCTTTTTTTTAGCCTGTTTTTTTATTCAAAAAGATGCCTGCGGCGCAGACAGTTTGGTCAAAATGGGGTTTTCATAGTGACCTGGGAGAGCTCAAAAAATCAATTTTGTCGGCCTAAAAAAGGTCGACGAAATTTTCGATTTTTTTGAAAATCCGAATCCCCCCCCCCTCGAGAAAATCGTAGATCCGCCCCTAGATACGCTTTTCATATTGACTTTCTGGCTGAACTTTCTGGTTCTTATCACAAGTATTACTACACTTAAATTACGACAAATTGTTTTTGAGGAAAGGGCCAATATTTGACCTGTTCGGCTCTTTTTTGTGCGCAGGGTTAAAATTTACACGTTTTTTTTGGGGGGGGGGGATTTTTCTCGACTGGGTAATGTTTCGTCTCTCTCAAGCTACGAGCACGAAATACAGTGGGCCTCAAACTTCTCACGGTTTGATTATGAAATAGAAAATAGTATTCGGTTAATTTGTCCCACGCACGCACAATCAAGTAACTCAAATAATCGTGAGAGGAAGCCGAGAGATCTGTCATGTCAAATTTCTTTCAGTCCTATTTTCGATCAATATAAAGAAACTGGACCAGGGGCGGATCTAGGATTTTCTCGAGGGGGGGGGGCGGATTTTCAAAAAATTTTCGAAAATTTTGACGACGACCTTTTTTTTTTTTTTTAGGTCGATCAGATTGATTTTCCGAGCTCTCCCAAAGCAATAAAAAGACCCTGTTTTGGCCAAATTTTCAGCGCCGCAGGCAATTTTTTGAAAAACCAGGTCAAAAAAGCCGTTTTTGGGCACTTTTTGGAAAATTTTGACAAAAAAATCGCGTTTTATTTGGCGCGCGCTCCCCCTCAAAATAAGTATATATTGGCGCCAAAGGCCTCTTTAGAAAAATTTTAGGGTCGGTCGGCCAAAAATGGATTTCTTAAAAAGTACCAAAGGGGGGACCCTTTGGGTTGGCAGGGGGTCGAATCCCTGAGGGGGGGAGGCGTCCGCCCCCCCCGCCCCCCCCCCTAAATCCGCCCCTGAACTGGACTGTTCGTATCAGGGCAAATCCCTGAACTTTTCGACTGACTGTTAAAGTATATGGGGTAGTGCGTGCTTTGAAAAAATGATGAAACCTATAAAAAAAATTGAAATGCGTTTAACAATTTTTCTTTTTTCAAAACATCCCCCTTTTTGAAATATGTCGTGCGTTAATTATTCCAAACAGGCCAGGTTGGTAATTTTAAACCCCCATAACTTTACGAAAATGATCACAGGTAGAAATTTTTTTTTCAACTTCAGCAAAGGACAACAATACCTACTGGATGATATAAGAAAATCCGCCAAAAATTGCAAATCGATTAAAAAGTCGAAATTAGTCTGGAGAAAAAAACCACCCCGGACACAGATATTCCGTCATTTTCTCCCAAAACCGGAGCAAATATGTAAATTTATCTATATCAGTCACGAGAAAGTTTGATTTGATGTTTTCAACCTTTCAGAATGATTTAAATCAAATATCGTGAAAAACAGCGTCATTTTCAGCAAGTGAAGTAAAGTATTCATAAAAAACTGTTTAATTAATTAAATTAAAGCATCTTTGTATTCATAGAGTTTTTATGCTGACACATTTTGCTATTCGTTGATGTTTTTGATGCTTCTGTTCTAGATATCCAGCATGGAGCGGGCAGCCCACTACATATTGCCAGAAATGACCATGATAGCTTCATGTACGAACCCTTTCGTATTTATACTAATGTCCCCTCCTCTCAAAAAACGTCTCGGCTCTCTTTGCGAATGCGTCAAAAAATACGCCTGCTGTACATTTTTATGTGAGAATAAATGTTGCTGCGTCGAAAACAAAGCCGACAACGAAGAAAGAGGAGCAGAACAAGCGATGGAACTGGACGGCGATGCTCCTGCACCAGTCAATGCGAACGGAGTCGTTTCCGGAACCGGTGCCGATCCGAACGGAGCCAAGAAGACTGCTGCAGCAAATGCTACTGATTCGCATGTTTAAAATTTATTAAGATTTGAAAATCCATCAACAGCTTTCAAAAAATACTGGAAATTTGAATAAACCTTTTATTTGAATAAATCATTTATTTAAATCGAATTTATCATGATTTGCGTAGAATGAAAATTTCATATATTATGGATAATAATGTATCAATAAGTTAATTTTTAACCTTTACCGAGATTCAATTAAAATTTTATTTCCCCGAAGATTTTAAAAGATTTGAGTTTCTGAGCACATTCAATTCATCCCTAATCTTTTTGATCCATTTTTTGATTAGTTTTGTTAGTAAAAATTTTGCCAAGTAGAACAGGAAAAAAATCGGCTTATGTTATGACACGCATTGTATAACAGTGTCCATCTCCTCTAATTGTGTCTTCATTCTTTTACTGATTGATTCAGAACAATTTCTTTTTCGATGATGGCACGGAAATTGTATTACAGTTGAGGAGCAAATAAAATGACTTGCCTTTTCAATGGTTAATTTAAATTTGGCCTAAAATTAGTTGGTATAAGACATCTGCTGTAATTCGTGCAAAAAAGATCTTTCAACACTGATGCGGAATAATTTAATGTTGAATATTGGTTCAACAGATTTAATAATATCAACTAGATTTTTTACGAATAATTAGTTTGAGTTTCATCCATTATTTGTTGGTTTTCAAACATGACAAGGACATCAGTCTTATTGAAATGTTCTTTTTTCAAGTTTTAATTTTCAACTGTGGTCGAATGCAGTTTGTTTGCTCCGTCATGACAAACACGTTTGCTGTTCTTTGACATATATTGTTTTTTGTTATTTCGGCAATTTCAATTTATTGAAAAAAATTTTCTGTTCAAATTATCTCTTTGTTAATTTTTTTTTGACGAAATATTCATAAATCACGGCAATTTTGAATAAAAGTTATAGTTAGTGAATTATTAAAAACTAGCCGAAAAAATTCGTGGAAATGTTCTATTCTGAGCAGTGGCGTACACAAAATTTTTTTTTGGGGGGGGGGGCGGTTTTTCGAAAATTTTTTGAAAATTTTGCTGACCTATTTTGTTAGGTCGACCTATTTGATTTTCCAAGCTCTCCTAAAATACTATAATACCCTATACTTCAAAGGTAGCTTTTGATGTACAACTGATTTCAAGTTAACAACGAAAAGTAAACACAAAGCAGAATAACTGAGGGGTGTGCACAGCACAGGAGCGGATCCACGATTTTCTTGAGGGGAGGGGGCGAAACGTTGCTTACCTTTTTTAGGTCGACCAAAATTGATTTTCCGAGCTCTCCCAAAGCATTAAAAAGACCCTGTTTTGGTCAAATTTTCTCGCTCCCCCCTGAAAATTAGTATATATTGGCGCCACAGGCGCCTTTAGAAAAATTTTTGAGTCTGTCAACCAAAATTGGATGTCTCAAAATAGTACAAAGGGGGACCTTTGGGTCGGCAGCGGGTCAAATTCCTGAGAGAATGTCATACAACCCCCCTGAATGTTTCGACTACCTTTTAAGGTCTATGGAGCAGTAAGCACATGAAAAAATTAAATGTAATAAGGAATAAAATGATTTTTTTTTATTTGAGCCTTATTTTGTGAAAGTTATCCCCCCACAAGCCATATAAAGTACAAAGTGATAACTTTTTGCTAGTAGTAGCATATCAATTATGGCAAATAGTCTTCCTACAACCAATTTGGAATGGTTTCTAAGAGGGATTAAATCTCCGCTTACGCGGTAATAGTGCAAAGTATATCGCGCGTTAATTTTCCCAAATTGGCTATAATAGCAATATTTAAATCCCCATAGTTTTACAAAAAAGAACACAGGTAAAATATCTTTTCGAACTTAAAATCAAGACAACAGTGCTTTTTGAATGATAAATTTTTTTTGTCAAAAACGGCTAGTAAGAAAGTCGAAATTTGTCTGAAGAAAAAAAACCACCCGGAGCACAAAAATACCGTTACTTTCGTTACGAAAGTCGGAACAACAATAATTAACAGATGAATACATACAAAAACAGCGTACAGTGAGCGAGCGACGATTGCCTCATCACACACACACAGAAACTTCCAAGTGCACTCTCATCGCGCATTCGGCAGGATAAGTGACGGATAAAGTGCAATTAATGATATAATCTGTAAAATTACATAAACAGAATAGAAAATGCACACCCTAAGGCGGATTAAGGGGGGGTACGCCCTTCCATCAGGAATTCGACCCCCTACCGACCCATACGGTCCCCTTTGTACTATTTTGGGATATCCAATTTTAATTGACGGACCCAAAAACTTTTCTAGAGGCGCCTTGGCGCCAATATATACTAATTTTCAGGGGGGAGCGCGCGCCGAGAAAAAACGCTATTTTTTGGTCAAAATTTTCAAAATAGTGCAAAAGAAAACGCTTTTGTGGACTTTTCTTTCGAAATTTTGCCTGCGGCGCAGAAATTTTGGCCAAAACAGGGTCTTTTTACTAGTTTGGGAGATCTCGGAAAATCAATTTGACCGAGCTGAAAAAAAAACATTCGACAAAATTTCCAAAAATTTCTTGAAAATTCGCCAGCCCCTTTGAAAAAATCCTAGATTTGGAAAAAAATGTACAAAAAAGAAAAAAAAAGACCTATAAATTGAAAAGAATATATCATTAGACAAAAAAGTACGAATAGTACTTGATTTTTTGTTAAAAAGAACCGAAAAGAAATTTTTTGCGACTTGGTGATGGAAACACAAAAGATTTTTTTTCACACATTAGCGACGAAATAAAAATATTTTGCCATTTTTTTCCATTTTTTGTTCTTTTTAATTAATGTAACATGCTAGCAATTCTAATCGAGAAAATCATCTTAACAAAGAAATAATTTTAAAAACAGAAAGACAATTTTTTTTGGGTTTAAAATGTTTACTTGATTGAATTACAGTTAGTTAGAACGATTGTTATAGCCAAACCCTACATGATTCAAAAAAAGGTATTTGTAAATACTCTTGTCCCAGTCTGCCCAAAAAAATTATACAAAATGGAAAGCTGTTCTAATGAATCAAACGTTTTCTTCGCTTTACAGCAGTTTTCGAGGTTGTAATAGCCTGTCATTTTTGTAATTTTTTTACCGACCTAAGCGGCTAGTATTGACCTCCACTTTAGTTTTCTCAAAATTGTCTAATATTATTAGAAACAGTCTAGTTAACAATGTTTGGGAATTATATTTTTCCCACTCGGTTCACAAAAAGATCCTTATTTGTTTTAATTAACTTACTAATTGCATTAGTTCTTATTTATCACCTTCATTTCGACAAGGAACACCAGCTCAAAAAATTTGCCAGTAATTTTAATTTCTTGTTAACACATGCGATAGGTGATATCAGTGATTCATGTAATCGGCCAATCGGAATTAGCAATTTTCCGAATTTGATTCGAAAATTTAATGTTCCAAGAAAAAATTGCACACATCTCCCGAGAAAAATGTCAAAAAAAGACTATGATACCTTCATGCGCCTGTTAAATTTATCGCTGTCAGTTTTGGATGAAAATGAAATTCCTTACACAGTTAGCGCTGGCGGACTAGTGGGTTCATATGTAAAGCTCGGCTATTTATTTTCTCAACTAACATAAATATCAATTTGCTTAAAAACAGTCAAATTAAATCCCAATTTTTAATTTGTGAATCAGTTTCTAAACAGGTCATTTTTTTGCTTTTGAGAAAAAATACATCAGTTTAAAAAAATCTAAGAACACAATATTACTTTGGATCCTTGACGAACGAACGCGGCCTCAACTTGGCTTTAAACATTCTTTTTTGAAAAAACAACTGAATGTTGTTGCGGAAATAGTTTGTTTTAATTAGAAAAACGGTAGCAAATAACCGAGCTCTTCAAGGTCATGCACGACATGTTGCCATGGGATGACGATATGGATATCATGATAAATTACGACTCAAAAGAAAAAGTGATCAACCTGTTCAAGGACGACAGACACTACGGGATCCAAGGACTTCAGAGTCGTCAGATGAACGGGGATCTCATCAAGTTATTCTTTACTAACTCCGTCAAAGCGGGTGATTTACTGAACAATTGAAACGATGGTTTTTTCCATCCCCCTCATTTCAATTTTAGTTTTAGTTTCATAGTTCAGCGAAATTTGGCATAGTGAACAAACTAACAATTGTGAACAGATTTGTTCTTCGTCCTTACATCGTATCATCACGCGTTTAGCCGTAATAACTACAGACAGAGCAAATATGAATGGTGAAAGATTTTTTCGTCATCTTGTCTCGGATATCGAGCAAAAACTCAAAAGCTAGAAAAAAATTGATTTTTACAGAAAAGTTAGCCTAAAATGCAACAATTATAGCAATTATCCGCAACGCTGGATTCAAATCATAGATATTTTCTTACCGCATTGTCTACGTAATAATCCCAAAGCATTAGAAGAATGTTACCTAAATAGATTTAGCTTTCTTTCAGGGCCATTTTTCAGCAGACAAAGTTGCACTTAATAGCTCATTCATAATTTCTGTTCAATAGCTGCCATTTTTTCAAAATTTCTTTGGCCGAACTGAACAAGTGCCAAAATAATCTAATTCTAGTTTTGAAGACTAACTGGTAGTTTATTTTAGAGAAATAGAAAATGTAACGATAACAAAAACTGGTTTTTCAGGTTCTTGGGTCATTTTTCACAACATGGGGTGATCCAGTGGATAAGATAATGAGCATAAAAGAGCCCTAATCGAAGGTTCTTGGATGAAAAATGATTAAAATATATTCTCTTAGAGTAATGTTTTGTCTAGATATTCGATTTCTTTGGCAATTGAAACCACATAATGCAATTTTTGTTTTAAGATAAAAGATAAGGTTTGAGTAAAAAAATGCCTAAAAATCCATCATTTCTGATTATAATTTTATTTGCTTTATTTTCGACAACTGGTTTTCATTCATTTTGCTTTTCAATGTATTCCCCTGAATTCAATGAAAATGGCCTGGGTTTCAGTGAAAAAAGAAAATACCTCTCTCCCCTCCCCTCTCTAATACGCCTATCTATGAACTATTATCACCTATCACTCTCCTAAAGTTTTGTACAAAATGTTTGACACTCCCACCCCCTCCCCCACTCTCACACGTCTATCATTCATGACCCCACCCACCGACGTCCAGCATCTGCCGAGGTCCTTCGACCGAAACTTCAAAAATATCCCTCCCCTCACTTGCAATTGCCCAAGTTGATGAATATGTGAGGTGGGGTACACGTGATGTACGTGTAGGAGTGGACCAAAACACTTTCCAACCCCTTCACTTATGAGGTCAACTTTTATATAAAAACTATTGAGCGACCTTTTTTGAAGTGTTTTTGGAATCCGAATCATGGTCGTCAATAGGTCTTTAAAATGAAACCACACCTGACTCGCTTCGATTTTTTTGTGATTGGAACAATGAGAAATATTTGAACTGATTCCAGATAAATGTTCGTGATATTTAGCTAATCTTTTTTATTGTTTTTATTTTGTTTTAGGGGGAAAACCTTGGAACTGGCCCTTCATAGACGTTGAGTCATATATCGAGGAGGAAAATGAGATCAAATTAGTTCACAGGTCGATTATATATTCCGTTAAAAACACTAACTTGATTTTTTTTAACTATCAGTTACGAATGGGCCTTATATAAATTATATACACTTTAATGTGGATTCTAACTAAGTAAGTCTAGCTTTAAAAAATCTTGATAGTAAATAGACTTCAAAACTAAGTTTTTTAACGGTATAAACTTAATTGTGTTCAAAGTTAATGGTGTAAAATTTAACGGTATAAAATTAATTGTGTTCATAGGTCAGACCGGAAAGTAGCATGGCCTCGTGACTCATACTTTCCAACACATCTCCGTCCTTTTGGACCCCTCTGGCTCAAGTTTCCACGAGACCCCAGTGGATACCTACTCGCTCACTACAAAAACCCTTTTCACTGCAAAACATCCACTTGGGCCCACAAAGAGGAAAGGCGATAGATTTAAGGACTGTATTTTGAATCCTTTTGTGCCTCATTTCTAAGAAGTTTTTATCAAGATGTTATTTTTTAGGAGAGAAGAAATAATAAATAAGCTGAGGTGAAGCCTTCCAGATTTTAAACAACTAGAAAAAGTTGAAATTCATTATTTAATAACAGCATTGCTCAAAATTTTTTTCAGTAGCCAAGTGAATAACGGTTCAAACCTCGCTTTTTGGGACCATATTTTATTGCGAGTTACTTTCATTTTAACTTAGATAAAATTGAAATTAATAATCTTTGAATCAATAATCTAATTGCAGGTGGTTAGACTCTAATAAAAATGTTCCCCGCCAAAACCAAATTTTATGCAATTCATCTCTTAAAATCACATAAAACTAAAAAATGTTTGGTAAAAGTTTTCAAAGCCAACATAAATTATCTAATCTATTGCCGAAGGAGCTACGAGTGAAAGCAAAGGAGGCCGACTGTGATGTTGTGGCGGCAGATTACCCGTTCGTTAGGAGGACACCATTCGCAAACATTACCAAGGAGACACTTGTTTTGAACGGAACCGAACTATACAGCATTTACATAGATGAGCCGTACAACAAAACTAAAACTAAATATGGATGGTAAATTCTGACTTACAATGATACATTTTGAACTGTATGTTATTATTGGGAAAAGAACATTTGACAGGCCTTTCTAAAATTTTCACGCAAATAACTTTTTTCCGAATAAAATGATTGATTGAATTTTGTCATTTTTTTAAATTAAAAACTTATGCATTTTTCTTTAAATTTTTTTTTATCTTATTCATTATTCTTTTTAAAGCTTTTTTGTTTACTGATTGATGCTTTTTTCATATGAATTATGTTTGAAACTCGACTAATGTGGAATGGTTAACCGTTTTCACAGCCAAATCACAGTCAAAAGACAAATGTTCGTTTAAAGGAGACGCTTTGTATAGCCGAAACAGGGAAGCTGAAAAACTTTTTGAGACAAGGAAAACTGGTCTTTTTTAAAGAAACAAAAATTTGGTTTGTTTTCATCACAGTTACACCACAGGTTGTACAACATGACACTATTCTGTTAAAACAGTTTTTAATTTTATCTGGTTTTTAATATAATTGCTCAAACTATGCTTAAATACAAATTGTTATTGCATCAACATAGCTCCGTTTTTACTTACTCTTACCAGAAATGTTTTGATTATTTTGACATTATTGTTCAAGAAAACTTCTATATTGGTAGTGAAATTTGCTAGAAAATTTTCAGAGTAAAATTTTTGTTTTACCAGGGCAATTTCTCTTCCAAATTCGACACTGTCACTCGTTTGGTACTACTTAACGACATCCGTTTTTGACTGGCCGACTATGAAACTCTCTTCAAAGTGCTTTCAGTTCAAGAATTAAGAAAGTGGATGTAGACCGGAAAGTTTTCCACATTTTTTTCAAAACTTTTCAAAACCCAAAAACGGTACTGCTGGCCTGCTTCCTCAAAAATTTTTCTGTGCCGCTGATTTTTTAGTTGTCAAGGACACTTAGAATAAATTTATTTATCAAAAAGTTTTTTTTTGTTTTGACAGACCTTGGATAGTCCACTAATTTTTGAAAAGACAACTCCTTTTTTATCCGTGGAAAAATTTTAGATCAGCTTTTGTTATCAAAATACATTTTTTGAATGGAGCGGCGAAGACAAATTTCAAGTAGCAAAAACCTTGTACTTCAAAAAACTACAGAACTAAATTATTATGAGTGTGCTGTCATTTATCATTTTTTACCAATTATTTTATCGCGCAAGTCCTTTAAAGAATTTTAAAGAAGATTTCGCAATGGATCACCCAGAAACGCTATTTTTTTTCACTTTGTTGCTCTCTTTGCAGTCAAAAATCAGCCGTTTGCGGTCAAAACTAGACAGTTTATATCGGAGCCATACTGTGCAACTTATGAACTGTAAGCGGGCTCCATAACAGGCCAAAAACAGAATTTTTGCGGAATCCCAAAAATTCTTATTTTTGTTTAATTTTCTTAGCTTTTTTGTGGACTCTACGGAAGAAAAGCTAAAAGACTGTATTGCTCGAAAATCATTCCAAAAACAGGCAACAAAACTTGTGGAATCTGCAACAAATTTTGCGGAATCTGGAACAGCTTGTGGAATCCTCAGACAAATAATAACTTATGTGTTTCTGCACTTTGTAAATGTAATCCGCAAAAAGTAAGCGGAATCCTCGTAATTTTGCGGAGTTCAATTACGTTTGCAGAATTCGCTTACGTTTGCGGAATCCGGAACAACTAATTATATTAATTCGTTGCAAAGTCCGCAACGAAACTAATGTGCCGATGAAAATTACATTAAACGTTTTTGTACGCGGATTCCACAACAATTTTTTAAGTGGACTCCACTTACAAGTTAAAGACTTTTCTCTAGATTTCAGGAACACAGAGACACCAAATTTTACGCCTATACAGTACACAGTTTAGCCTCAAATTAGCCTCAGTTATACTTTTAAATCATACTCGTCAAAATATAGACAGATACAGAATTAACCAATCAAAATTGAAATTAGAAAAACAAACATACGCAAGAATCATAAAAAATTTGATTTCTCGTTAAACTGTTCTCGTATCTCAATTCTGATTGGTTATTATAGTAATTGTTTACTCTATAATGTGTCGACATCACAAAATGTCTACATTACGAGGCCAACTCTGTGCACTGGACATGCGCACAATTTGATGTCTGTAGGTCAGTGAAATTCAGAGACAAGTCTTTAAAGATGCTCCAAAATTTAAGTGGATTCCAATTACAAAAATTCCGTGGCTTCCACGTATAAAAAAACTGTAACGTAAATTTTGTCGGCACAGTTTGTTTTTTGTCGCGGATTTCTCAACAAGCGAATATGCTATATATTTTTTTCTGAACTAATGCAGTTCTTGCATATGAACAACCAAAAAACATTAGAGCTGGAGTTTTTATCTAGCAAAAGTGGAATTTAAAATCATTGTCAGAAGAATTTTCGAAGAATCCGAAATTATTTGTTAACACAATTGGTGGATGGACCCTTTGATTATTGGAATAAAGCTCCCATCGAGTAATTTTTGGGGTCATTTGGTAACACAGTCACCAAATAAACTAGTGGGATTAGTGTTCTGAGATTGTTCGAAATTACAACAAAACACATCACCGAATCATATCGTTATTCGGGATTACTAGGATGAGAGTGAAATCAAATGTTTCGAGGGAAAATTGAGATCAAATCAGAGTGAATTCAAATAGTTTATTGGAATGAAAGGTTTATTGGGATGTGCCACAGTGTGAGGTTATTTGCAATAACAGGATTGTCAAAATGATTCAAACTTTTCTGGTTTGTTCTTATCTTCTATTTCTTCTATTTTGAAAAATTTGCGATGAACGTTTGGGGGTTAATTAATGGGCAAAAATTGAGATCGGATGTTTGACTTAGCAGGAATTAGTTAGCAGGAATAGAAAAGGCAGGAAATGATCTGACAGGAACTGAATTGACAGGAATTGAGATCAAATGGTTCGGGGTAAGACTCAGGTAGTAATTGATCTCGCTGGTGACCACCTGGTAAAGAAAAGAATGTAAAAGGAACTTTGCTATATATGTTACTGAAATCCGCAAACAAAATGTGAGTTCCGCATGTAATCTGCGGGTTCCGCATACAATTTGTGAAATAAACTACAGCTCAATTTTTTTATGCACATGTTTAACCGTTTGTTTGCGGGTTTCGCAAACTGTTCCGGAATCAGCAAATACTGTTGAAGCCTCCGCAAACTTGCCTGTTTTCGCAGCGATTTTGTGCAGTAAAGTGTTTTAGCTATTAGGTTTTAGTGTTTCCCTGCTTTTATGCTTTCAGTGTTCTAGTTATTTGTGTTTTAGGGGAATCCAAAACAGCAAAAAAGATCAACAAAATTGGCAAAGTTGCGAACTCTGCTACAAATCTAATTTTGGCTTGTCGCAAAATCCGCTGACAAATCACAAAATTGACAGTTTGATCTAATAATGCACTTTTTGCTATGCGATTAAAAGCAGTAGATATTTGATTTAAGCGTAATAACTCATAGCTACGTTTTCCAAAATCGATTGTCTATTGTCAAGCAAGGAATTCTTTCAACTTTCTTGAATTTTTGAGGTTCATCTGTCACAGCGCCGCCCGCAAATCTTTTTTGAGCAGTAGAAAACAAGAGACTTTTACAGTCAGGGGCGGATTAGGGGGGGGGGGTAGCTTTTTGGACTGTTTTTTCAAAATTTTCACAAGGGAGTGCTTAGGGAGAGCTCGAAAAATCAGTTTGGTCGACCTAAAAAAAAGGTCGATAAAATTTTGGAAGATTTCTTGAAAATCCGCAGCCCCCTCGAGAAAATTCTAGATCTGCCCCTGTTTACGGTATTAACCACCTGATAAGTTATACAAATTCAATGAAAATTTTGTAAAATAAGTGCTAAAAACAATGCGAGAAAAAAAGAGACCGAAGTTTAGAAACGAAAAAAGACTTTTGAACTTCGGTAGAAAGAGGGAGAAGAGCCTTGGAGTTGTTTCATGGAATATTAATAGCACAGTTGGCGCTTTGCAAGGGATGAAAAGAGGAAGAGAAAGTAAAGGTTGCGAGGTATCTAAGTCAAACACGGAACAAATAAAGTCAAAATATACCAAATGTAAAGACAAAGCTCATAATCAGAGGGACCATTTCGGCGATGAGCACAAACTAGGTTTCTTCTCGTTTTTCAAAATGTATTCCATTTTTCGATCGTAATGTGTCAAAGAAGTTGTCCTAAAAAGGTTGTAAAAGCGCTCAAACATTTTTGCTTCACCGTACATATAATTTACTCATGGAAATTATAGTGTAAGCTCTCTTCTTTGCAAAAATCCTCAAAAAAACTCCTGATAATCCTCTAATTGGTTTCTCAGGATTAAAAGCGGGTAAAAAACCGTAGGAACTTCTGCAACTAACATGAAATGTTCCCCTTTAAAACTAAAGTTTATTATCTCCTTCAAATGATGGAATTGAATTTTAATTTGAAAATTTAAACGTCAGGGCTTTTTTTGAGAATCCGCATATTAACAGTCATGCCAACTGACAGTCGTTTCTTACAGACACGGTCAATTTTGACTCCGACACAAGTGATGCCGTTGTCTCGAAAACGAAGACCCCTTGCTTGCAATTCGTTCCGTTGTCTCATTTAGAATACATTGAACATTGAGATGATTTAAGGCCAAGATGGGTTCAATTTTAAATCTTGAGTGCAACATTTTTCGTTTAGCTTTAGGCATACTTCTAGTTTAATTGAAAAGCCTATGTTCGTGTACTTTCAGGCTAGATATTAAGCGGATCTTTGTCAAATTTAAAAAAAAAAGGAATATTGCTCGTTGATTAGTTGATGCTATAGTAGGAAATCGAGAGCCGCAAGTTGTGCGAACTCTCCACACATGAGTTGGAACATTGAACTGAAATCGTTGGAACGTTGGAGTGTCCAATACAATGATAAAATCAGAGACTGCTCCCTGTGTATCTCGTTTTAAAGGAAGACTTTGGTCGCAGTTAGTAAAAATTGCATGTGATCTGGCGCTTTTTTTGTAGCATATCATCTCGCTTTTGTCGTCAATCTTGTTACAGAATTGCTTGATTTCACATCAACCGAGCGGTCTTGATTAGCTGGTTGCGGTCTTGATTAGCTATTTTGTGCAGGCATCAAACTAGCGTTATTTCGACAGGTAATTTAATAGGAGGCAGTTCTGTCCTCAGATCAAAAAAATTAACCGACCAGCCACCTATCAACCCCGTAGGGCTTAGGATTGAATGTTCCGCACATGCAAAATTTTTTTGCGGCCAAAAAAGAAACTGGTAAGATCACCGGAGTTCTAGATACAATTTTGGGCCCATTTTCAAGTTCACTTCTTTTGCTATTGAGTTCTGATGCTAACTTAATGCTATAAAATAACCGTACTACGACGATTTCAAAAAATAGTTTGTAATGTCGTTCAATATTATCTCTAGGATTTTTTTTTTCTCAAATATTATCTGAAGTTATAATATATCTTAGGTAGTATTGTCGCCTGAAGGCAAACTATTTCGAATTTTTAGCACAAGAAGCTATAAGGTGCCTTGGTATTCTCAAACGTGTCAGAAAAATTAGACATATAGTTGGTTATAATGTTTGAGCGATGTCTCATTCCAACCCGGTTCTCAAAAAGATCTCTATTTGTTTTGGTTAATATATCACTTGGATTACTTCTTAGTTTTCATTTATTATTCACTAAAAAAATTGAAGTAGATAAACTTATCAAAAATTTTATCACTTTGCCGCAAAATAAAATAGATATCATTGATTTAAGTAGTTGGCCGATTGAAAAGAATACTTATCCAAATTTGATTGAAAAATTCAGTGTTCCTAGAAAAAATAGCTCTCATCTTCCTAGAAAAATGTTTAAAAAAGACTATGACACGTTAATGCAACTCTTAAATTTGTCTCTGTCAGTTTTGGATGAAAATGACATTCCTTACACTGTTAGTGCTGGCGGACTTGTGGGTTCATACGTAAGGGCTCGGCTAATCATTTTCTCAAACTACACAAAAACTGTTTGGCTATTCACAGTAAAACTTCATCATTTTTTCTTCTTTTTGAATCAGTTTCTGAAAACCTCATCCTTTTCATAGTTTTCAAAACTAATTTGTAACAATTGAGAAAATGTTAACAAAGCAAACTTTGTTCTCAATAAAGAGTCAACGCTGATCTCAGTAAGGAGTCAAACAGCTTTTGTGCTGACGCTGACGCGGAAATTTTGTAAGCAGAAACAAATAGCCGAGCTCCTTAAGGTCATGCACGACTTGTTACCATGGGACGACGATATGGATATCATGATAAATTACGAAACGAAAGAAAAAGTTATTCATCTGTTCCAAGATGACAGACACCACGGGATCAAGGGACTTCTGACTCGTCAATGGAACGGAGTGTTCATGAAGCTTTTCTTTACAAATTCCGTCAAAACAGGTAAGTGACTAACTTGCGATAACACGATAGCCTCATCATTTTGCTTCAAAAACAAGATAAACAGTTCACTGTTAGAAAAAAAGAAGAGAGGTTGAAAAGTAAAAAAAAACGCTAGTTGAAAATTTCAACTTGAAATCATGGCGCCCACTGGCCGGCAGTGCTGGTTTTCAATCCATTTTTTCAAAACTCTGAAATGAGAAGTAAGAAATAATTGAAGTGAGAAGGAAAAAGGCTGTGTTTTTTCGCTGAATCAAACACACGTAGCACATCAGTTATGGTTCCGACTTTCGATACGAAAGTAACGGAATATTTGTGCTCGTTTTGGTTTTTTTTTCTTCAGACAAATTTCGACTTTTTAACTAGCCATTTTTGACGGAATTTTTTTATATCATTCGAAGGGTATTGTTGTCCTGAGCTCAAATTTGAAAAGATATTTCACCTGTAATCATTTTTCGTAAAGTTATGGGGGTTTAAAGATTGCCAATTGGGCCAATTTGGGACAATTAACGCACGATATATTTCGCGCTATTAACGCGTAAGCGGAGAGTTAATCCGTCTTAGAAATCGTTCCAAATTGATTTAACGAAGCTTATTTGCCATAATTGATTTGTTACAAGTAGCGAAATCTATCCTTTTGTTTTTTATATGGCGTGTGGGGGGATGATTTTTATTTTAAAAATTTCAAATTTTTGAGAAAAAAAAAATTTTCATTTTGGTTTTATTACTTTTAATTTCTTATTGATATTACTGCTCCATAAACCTTAATGGGCAGTCGGGACATTCAGGGCTTCGCCCTGCTACGAGCAGTCTTGTTGTTTTAGTATAATGATAAATGCATTTTAAAAAATCAATTTTTTGTCAGATCCAATTGCTCCCTTGGCGCCTGGCTATCTACTTGATATAGAAACATATTGAATATCAAAAAAAAACTTTATCTTTGCAAAGAACTTCACAGTTTTAAACGACTAAGTTTTGATTTATTATGAGGTTAATTAACCTTGGCAAGTAATATTTATAGTGAAAATAGAACATGTGGCATTCGTGAATGTGGAAACTTGCGGTCTTTGACCTGTTGAGTTGCTGGGACCTAATTAATAGAGCATTTTGCAGCGCTTAGTAAATTTAAATTAAATTGAACGCTGGGGTGGAGGATCATTAGTTGGTCTATTTTTTTGGGGGGGAGGGGAGGGGAGTTGGGGGGAGGATGTAAATTTGACGCTACATTTTGCCAACTCGAAGTAGCATTGTGCAGCACCGAGCCAAAGTTTATTGGACTTGTTTTAAAATTCGAACAATAACAATCGAAAATGAACAAATAGGACAAAAAACACACCACCATATTCCGAACCCCGAGCTTTTCAACAAATATGTATTAAAGTATTCGTGTTTCACACAAACCATAGAAAATCCAGTGATTTGTCATTACAGGCCTTTCCAGTTATGATTTGATGACTACCGGAAAAAAAACTTTCGATCATTATACGCAAAAATACAAATACGAAGGTATAGATGGATATCAAAAACTTATTCCGGATGCAGTTTCCTCCCCAAATTTCTGATACTATAACTAAGACATTATTAGGCAGATCCTGAGATGGATGCTAAGCCCGTTTTGTTTTCCCCTAAAACTTACTATAATTTCAGATAATAGTCAACAAACTTTAGCTGCAGAGCTCTCGTAACCTGAGAACTATCATTGAAAAACTAAAGTCTAATTCTTATTCTTATCTAGTTATTATAGTGTAATATATGCTAGTTATCAAACTTTTGCATAATTTTTGACACATTGCAGGTAACAGACCTTGGAAGTGGCCCTTCATTGAATCTGAGCCTTATATTGAAGAGGACAACCAGATCAAATTATTTAACAGGTATACTTTTATTGCAGTCCCGAATTTTATAATTAACGCATATGCATCAGTTTTTTTTTTCAAATTATTTGTCCATGTTTTTAAATTCATTTATCGCTTATCTGTTTGTGCTTTTTTTCAGTAATAAGTACACGAAACTAATCCAGAACTCTTTGATAATTGCTCGCCATTATTTGTATCATAATTCTCTGATAGTAGTAGTTGGGAAATAAATTGCTGCCAAAAAAGACATTGAACTGTTTTCGATCTCAGTTTGACATATTTTGAAAGGATAAAAGAATTGTCCGCGCCCTAATTTTTTTCTCTAGAAGAGTTAAGAAGATTTATTCACAAAGGAAAGGACTAATATACGAGTTGCTGTTCAGCTCTTCACGGAAAACCGCTGTTGTGCCCCTGGTTAAGATATACATGCAATTTTTTGGCTATTTTTCTGGGCTGGGTAATGTTGTCTCGTGGTGGGCCTCGAACATCCGACCCTTCGATTGAGAGGCGGAGACGTAACCACTTCACCGCCGCTCCGCCACTGCAACCAAAAAAACACTGCAATTATCCTTATTTGAGACGATTTACGCGTGATATACTTTGTTCTATTAAAGGGCAAGCGGCAGTTTAATACCGCCCAGAAATAGTTTCAATTTGTTTTGAGGCAAATAGAAGAAACTCTTTTATGCGCGAAAGCCAAATTACAACCAAGCAAGGTCTATCTAAATTTCGAAAACTGGCAAACTTTTTCGGTTTTTTCCAATTTTGGAATAATGAGCTCTCATTGGCTGATAAAAAATTTGTACAAGTTGTTTGCTGAGAATAAGGGATTTCACCGAAGCAGGCTTTTTGGAGCTACTAAAAAGTTACTATACGCAAATGATATAAATTTGTAATATATAGTGTAATATACAAAACTTAAAAAAAACTTCCTTTTTATAACTGAATTTTAATTAATTTTGAGGTTCATGGAATGATGCTTTACTCCCTGGACGCTAAGAGCCATTCAGAATAATCAAATTTTTGCATTCATGTGAGCATTTTTAACTAGTTTTAGGACTGAACGCTCAGTTGACTTTGCAGATTAGTTTTAACAATTGTATTTTCAATCTTTGATTGCAAATAAGCCTCGTTGAAAAGTTTGATTCAATTTTATAAGCGAAAACTCTTTCTGCAGTTGTTTATGATGTATCTTGATGCATAATTTAGAAAGATTTTTAAACAGTCTCTGGCGTTTTGACTACTGTAAATTTTGTTTAAAGGAGTGACCATAATATATCATGGCCTCGCGATTCCTACTTCCCCACCCATCGCCGTCCTTTTGGGCCCCTATGGCTCAAATTCCCACGAGACCCCAGAGGATATCTGCTCGCCCATTACAAAAACCCCTTTCAGTGCAAAACTTCAACTTGGGCTCACAAAGAGGAAAAACGATAGATGTCATATTTAAAATATCAGTACATAATGCCTTATTTTAAAAAATCTTTCATCTGCACACAACATCAAAGTTAATTTAGAGCATAAAAAAATGCTACCTTGTAAATTTGCATAAAGAATTTAGAAAAAATAAACTTTTTTGTTTATGCGATGAGTGTTTTGCGCTCAATTCAAAACTCATTAAACACAAAAAAAAATCAGAATTATGCTTTTATACCATAGATCCTGTGAGTTTAGTAAATTCTGATTAAATTTTTTAGAAAATTGTGTTTTTGGAAATCAAATGAACCAAAAAAAAACGTTTTTCACTAAAAGTGCTTCAAATTTGTAATGGTTTCAAAGATTGAAAAGTGTTTGCAGATAAGCTGTTGATAAAAGTTTTTCGAAGAAGGGAATTATTGGTCTCTGTTTTCCACAAACTATATGAAAACTTTCGATTACAGTCTTTCAAAGAATTAAGCAAAAAATGACTCAGCATAACATAGAGAATTTTTTGAAAAAATTGTTCCATTAGAAACAAGAAAAAATTATTCTATCGCCAAAGGAACTACGAGTGAAATCAAGAGAAGCTGACTGTGAGGCTGTGGCTGCAGATTACCCGTTTATTAGGAGGACACCATTCGCAAACATTACCAAGGAAACACTTGTTCTGAACAGAACCGAACTATACAGTATTTATGTTGATGAGCCCTATAATAAAACTAAAAATAAATTTGGATGGTAAATTTTTGATTATAAGTATAATTTGGTAGCTATAATCACATAATTTAAAAAAAATGCACTTGAGGTGTTTTTGTGAAAGTTGCACGCTTAAATTGATCGCATTGGTTTGATTTTCATCAAAAAATTGTCCCTGGTTTCATTATTCAATAAATCATTGCCTTTTTTAAGATCTCCTCTTTTTGCCAATTTCGATGCAACTTCTAATTGATTTTGTTTAAAACTCAATTTTTCTGGAAGTATGACCGTCATCACAGCAAAACCACAATTGGGAAACTTTTGTTTAAACTTAAGCTAGCAAACTATGTACATATTGCTCAATTAGCTGACGCAATTTTCAATCAAAAAATCAAAAAGTGATAAAAAAAATCAATTGAATCTCAAGAGTAATCTCACCAATTGTAGTTTGGTAACCGTTTAATGCAAGAAAATGGTTGCACTTGTAGATTTGGCATGTAGAATACTTTGTCATGATGGCAGTTTTTTTAATGAGAAAGAATTTTTACAAAGTTGAATCAACTGTTTATGCAGGCGAGATAACCAAAGCCCATTTTCCCATTAAATTCAATATCAAAATTGTCATAATAGAAAAACAGAAAAATTTTCTGAAAAAAATGGTTAAGTTTTTGAGTGATTTTTCATAGAGGCATGCTGAATTTTCATTTTAATCAAAAACAGGGTTTAAACAAAAAAACAGGGAAAATCTTTATTTTGTTTTGTAAATCAAATCATTTAACTGAAAAATTTAAATTGAACTATTAAGTTTAATTGGACAAAATGTTTTTCATAGAAAAGGTTCTTAGAAGTAGGGAATTCCGAGCCAGTTATGCAAGTGAATTTCCCATAACCTGTTTTTTCTATTGAATTCCTAATATCGGATTCGACAGAGTATTTTTTGAGAAAATGGCAAAAAGTGCAAACTTTGCAAATTGGCGAAGAATCAAAAATTGAGCTTTTTCCAAAAATTGGGCTTTTTCCAAAAACTGAAAAAGCGTTCATGAAAAATTAAGAAAACGCCGTTTCTGCGAGAAAGTTCTTGCAATCTGTTTCTTTGATAGAACCATTAATCTCAGATTGCTTTATTAAGTGATTTCGTAACGCATGAATACGTTATTGTTAACGGCTTAAATTAAACATTAACAAGCCTGCTCGCTCGTTTTACTCGCTCAAAAATTGACGCAATTCAAAAACCCCAAACCAATTCCGGTATAAAGGGATTTAATATGATATATCACTGAACCTAGTACGATGATTACACTTGCGGGCCTGCAAAGCGTAGTGTATAAGTACGAACTTCCTTTTTTCTAATCTAACTCGCAAATGAAAGTATTCATAAAATTGTTGATTTAATTGGTGTTATCATAACGATCTGTAGCATTAGAATTTTCATAACATCTGTTCTCTGCTGTATATGTGGCTAATGTTTAGGCTTTATTAAGCGTCCGGGGTTAAAGATCGTGAAGTGGTTAGAGCGTTACAATAAACTCATAATTTTTTTGAGAAAAGTCACAGAGTTTTTAAGAAATAGTTCAAAAACTTTGACTTTTCTGACAGCAAAAACATTTTAAACAAAAAATAGGAAAAAATTTTTGTTAAAAGGGTATTACCAGGACTTGTTTTCTCATTTAAATTTCTCTCAGAGTTGGGAGCGTAGTTAATGAATAAAACTCAAAAAATTTCAAATTTTCGTCAAAAAATCAAAAACTTGATCTTTTTGAGGGCCATAATTTTTTGAGCAAACAGAATTGGTTATTGACGCTAATGATGAGAAGTTTACCAACACCTGATTTTTATTGAACCCAAAATCTCAGTTTGAAAGGGCAGTTTTCGAGGAAATGAAAAAAAAGGTTTTTGATAAAATATCCAGCTGTAGAAGCCGAGATAATCTGTACAAAAAAGAAGCTAAGAAACATGCATGCATACCTGGGATATGATGGTAATCCATTGGGACTATTATTTAAAAACAAGTGACGCATTTTTTCTAGATTTTGAAAAAATTTTTGGAAAATTTTCTAGTGTATCGGAATTTTAACGTGTATCAAAAAAACTAAATAAAAAATCAAATCCCATACATTTTGTAATACCTTTTTTTCTAACAGGAAACAAGTTTCACGTTAATTAATAGTCATTTGCTTGTTTTTTTTGGTTAAAACTTTCATAGAAACCGACAAATTTGAGGTCTTTTTTGTTAAAGCCCCCCACGTATTTGTTACATTCATTTTGTTTTTGTAAGGCTTCGCTACATTGCCGTTTCTTTCTTAGGCGATGAAATTGGAGATTGTTATCAGAAAAATCTGAATTTTGTACTGAACTAATTTGGATTTTTTTCAAAAAGTAATCGAATTCATCTGATCAAAACTTTTCAACATATTATTTTAAGTTTAACTTCAATTTCTAATGAATTATATCACTTGATTGAAATCATTTATAAACTGCAATTCTACGCTGTTATTCTACGCCTCCCAGTTTGTTGAACCAAAAAAATTTCAAGGTAATGAAAAATCATCATGGGTAGCCCATGGTTTGATGTTTTTTTTTAAATTGACTAAGATTGAAAAGATAAACAGCAGAAAAAAGCAAAAAAAAAGAAATATTTTTAAATCTTTGTTTTTTTAAGAGTTAGAAACAAACACATGTATGTTTTTTGAAAAAAAAATTTTTTTTTGCTATGAAATGATAAATTTTGAAAATCAAGGTAATTGAAATTATCTCAAACTTTAAAATCGAAATAATCATTTGACTTCAATTCAAGTGCACGGACTTATTTTGCATTATTTTGAGAGCGCTTCAACGCAAGTGTTATCAAATAACAACCAAAAATTTTAATTGAACAGAAAGGAATTTGAAGGAGAGAGTGTTATTGTTCCGACTTTCGTAACTAAAAATATAAACTCATTACGGGACAGAAAATCAAAATAGGCATTTTTCTTATTTTTTTCCGATTTTCGTAACAAAAAGAACAGAATATTTGTGCTCGGGGTGAGTTTTTTGCTTCAGACAAATTTCGACACCTGCGATCAATTTTTGTTATGCGGCCATTTATCCAATTTGAGACAATAAATGCGCGATATATTTTGTGTTATTAAAGCGTAAGCGATATTTAGTCCGTCTTAGAAATCGTTCAAAATTGGTTCAAGGAAGCTTATCTGCCATAATTGATTTGTTAATAGAAGCTAAATTTATCACTTGTACTTAATTTGAATGGGGGGATGTTTTCACAAAAAAATCTTCTTTTTAAAAGAAATTTTTTAAATTCCTTTTTATTAGATTTAATTTTCCATGTTATTATATACCTTAAAAGGCTTCATATACCTTAAAAGGCATTCGGAACATTCAGGGCTTCGCCCTGATACGAGCAGACTTGTCTGTCTTTTCTATTACTACGCGGCACTCCACGATATCATGAAAAAGCGCCATTTTTTTATCCAAGTGAACATTATATTACAGCATGAGTAGGAATGATGAACTTTAAATTATTAACCGCGCGGCATAATTGAAAAATCCTTGTTTCATAATTCGGAAAAAGATGGTAAAAAACAAGATTTTAAAAACTGGAAAAGTTTTGGAGCAATGCGAGTTTTTCTATCAATTACTACATACCAGAAATACCTATATTATCTTTATATAGATTTATCATAAAAATAGCAGTGAATAGAACTCGTTTTGCTCGCGGTAAACTTCCGTTTCACATGGAAATTTTCAAATAAATTTTGATCTTCAAAATGCGAGAAAAAGCTTTCGATTTAAATTTTTTGTGCTTTATTGATACGAGTACTAATTTTAGTAGTTTTAGCTACAAGCAGAAATTGCTCTAAAACCAAAAATTATTGTCCTTTTGTTTCTCCTTGCTTTTTTGAAAAATTTCTCAATATGTATTACAATGGTTTCCTGTTGCTTTTATTTGTGTCAAAACTTTTTTCTCGCTCATTCGTTCTTTGTTCTTGAACTCCTGGTCATAAAGATAAACTATTTCTCAAAATAACACTGAAATTTATTTATGGTTAATTTGTTAATATCTTGCTGCGCTGGTGTCGATGAGGGTCGATTCTTTTTCAGTTTAAAGTTCTTTTTTCATTCGTTTTACTAGGTTTTTTCAAATGATCTCCAATATCAATTTTGAGTTTGGCTTGATATCTCATTATCATTTAACTTGGCTAGTATTTCAGGAAAATAAATTTCGAAAGTCAAATTTCACACTTACTTCAAATTCAGGGCTTTAAAAAGTTTCAGCATCATCGTTTTTTAGGGATCCTAACTATAGAACAAGACT